AATGTGGGAAAGTTCAAGGGGGCCGAATACTTTTGCAAACCACTGTATTTTGGGATTGTAAGAATAACTACTGGAGAGATGTCCATAAAGTGATGCAAAACATCTTTAGTACTAGTTTAGCCTTTGATTTCAAATCCATATTTTTAGGACACACAGCCTCAGACATAACTTGTATAGATAAATACTAACTATGTGTACTGCTAGCTGCAAGTAAAAAGGCACCGACCAAAAGATGGCTAACATAGGATCCACCAACATTAAACAGCTGGATTGATGTAACTTTTGAGATGTATAAGATGGAAAAGATAAATTTTTTAGTGAATTTTGAGTATGAGAAATTTGTAAAACACTGGGGAGAATGGCTCCGCTATGTGATGACATTCATCATTGAAGGAATGGTTGTTTACATTTTTGTTTGTTATAATAACATGTACTAATGCTATGTCACCATCTGCTACTGAGTGTGTTGGCTTTCTCTCTCTGGATAGTTACAAACTGTATCTGTCTTTAGATATGTTTGTTTGTGTGTTTTCTTTTCTTTCTCTTTTTTCGTACCTGCTTGAAGAAAAAGTACTTGAAGTGATGGCGGTCACCCAGACTACTGTACATATATGAGTCTTAGAACAAAGGAAGCCATCAAATAATGTACATTTTATTTCATGCATAACTTCAATAAACACTAAAAAAAACAACCTTTTTTTGCTTCTGACTACAACACTTAATTCAGTTCAATTTTGTTTTATTTACATATCGCCAAATCACATCAACGGTCACCTCAAGACACAAACAGTTGTCTCCAGCTTCTGTTTGCATTATGCTCATCCTTAGTTTGGACTCATTTAACTGATTCAAGCCAACTGTGAAACACCAACTTTCAGTTTTCTGCTCTTTATTAAATGAACAGTCAGAGTTTTGCTCAGTTACCTCATCAATGATGTCACCATTCTCAGCATGGACCTGCGCGATGGCTCCGAGATCACGGAGGACACTGAAGGCCTCATAGAGCTGAAACCATGACAACGGTAAAATGAAAGCAAAACTAACAAAAAGAAACGATTAATGAGAAGTTACTCTGTCTGCACACCTGAGAGTCGGAGCTCTGGTACTTATCTTTGTAGGCCATGAAGAAGAGGAAGGAGTTCACCCCTGAAACACAGAGTACTGCAGTTTATACTCAGCCAGACTACAGTTCACCCTCTGTGTCTTGCGATATCTGACTATAATTGATAATGAGCTTATTGATTATTGCTTGGCAATCTTGACCTTTGTCCTTGACAAGTGTCTCCAGCTCCTCGTACAGCCCTTCGTGCCAGCGGGTGATGTCCACATGGAGGGAGAAGTCGCAGCACGCCCTCTGCTCTGCCGCATCTTTCCACTGGTCAAATGCCGTTAGTAAACTAGTCCCCGGCTCCACCAGCACGTGGTCCACTGCCAACACAACCAGCTTACCGTTAGCACATCACACTGAGGCCAGATGGTATTGATGGAGTATTGGTTACTGACTAATGGTGGTGGTTCCTCCGGACAGGGCGGCTCTAGTTCCCTGGTAGAAGTCATCTGCCGGGTTCAGGCCTTTCTGCGGTGAGTACAGGTTTGTGTTGGCGTCGATTCCTCCAGGGATCACCAGCTGACCATATGCGTCCACCGTTTTCACGCCGGGCGGGACAATCAGGTTCTCGCCGATCTGTCTGATCAGGACACAACAGGAAGTCCGAGGTGT